AAATGGATCATGAATGATAACGGGAGACGTTCCGGACAATGGTTGGATTTCGACGAACCACCGAGGCACTTTAATATTGGTTGGCACATAAGTACTTTCGTTTTTTTTCAACCGGAAATTTCGTTCCAAAGATGAAATGTTTTGCTAGCAAGCTTGATATCATCTGATAGGAAACTTCACGTAGTTTTAGAATATCAAAACGGCTTTGGTTGAGGGAATAATTTTTGTGGATTTTTTAGTCGTTGAAGTTGAAAGCGAAGTCGGCGAAAATTAGCACCTTCGACAACTGCCTCTATTTACGTATAGTCGAAGTGCTAAAATCGCTTAAGCTGCTCCATACATTTGGAAAGGTCGAGCTAGAAGTTCCAGCAAGGGAATCTCACTAGGACGCTTTGGAACGAATTTCAAGAATTTTGAAGTTACCAACCTTCACCTCGCCGATATTGGGCAGCTCACGTCTGTTCCACCTGAAATTTTATGCTAATATTTGAATGTTTCGCTGATATGTTTTGCATGTTCTGATAGCAAATTTCGTGCTCTATAACACTGCTATAGAAATCTGTTCTCCAGAGGTGTTTGCTTTCTGTTAAGTTCAGGTTATCATTACGGAACGCGAAGTCGTTGAGAACTAGCGTTCCCGTTCTCCACGAATTTTATGCTAACATTTGAATGTTTCGCTAATGTGTTCTATATGTTCTGATAGCCAATTTCGTGCTCTATAAGACTGTGTTGCAGGTTTTTCGAAAATAAGTATATGATGAACCTTGTTTTTAGGTGGATAATATGGAATGTCAGGTCGATAAGCATCAGCACTTCAGAAATTCTCATCTTTTCGCAATTCAAATTTTCCGAGCAGCATCAGCAGCTCTGATACCTCTGCTGAATGCGAAAAGGAGGAGATGTCTGAAGTGCTGATGCTTATCGACCTGACATTCCATATTATCCACCTGGAAAACAAGGCATCAAACGGATTTTCAAAATAACTGCAACGCAGTGTTATAGAGCACGAAATTGGCTATCAGAACATATAGAACACATTAGCGAAACATTCAAATGTTAGCATAAAATTCGTGGAGAACGGCTAGTTCTCAACGACTTCGCGTTCCGTAATGATAACCTGAACTTAACAGAAAGCAAACACCTCTGGAGAACAGATTTCTATAGCAGTGTTATAGAGCACGAAATTTGCTATCAGAACATGCCCAAAACATGTCA